TCTGTCGTATTTTTCAATATTTGAAAGCAGATTGATGTATGTTTAAAGAATCAAAATTGACGAAGATGGTGAACACTTATAGTTCAGGCTGTTTTGAACTACTTTTGTTCAAGGATATGTCGTAATTTTGAACTTTGGGTAGCGCGAAATACTTTTTTTCTAGATGTCTTGGGAAATGCACGTATTTGAATGAGTCTGTTCGCATTAGAACACAAAAGAAACGGGAACGTTCGAAAAAAGTCATTTTCTTAATGTGAACGCAGTATATATAGTTCACTTATATTCATCGTATCTCCTGATGGACTCAATAGTTTTTAAACATTATTAGTTCCATAGATTCCTGAGAATTAGATAATATTTTTGCCAGCAATATGTTGGGTTGATTTTCACTTTTTTCCACTTGAAGCAGTGTTTTTTTCTGATCTACAAAAAGCACGTGTACCTAAAGCACGTGTACCTAAAACACGTCTACCTAAAGCACGTTCACATCAGGGAATAAAAAAAAGAGCAACGTTCGTAATAGGAAAGGTGTCCTACTCCGAACGGAATAAATGTGCCTATAATAAAACGTTTAGAACATATAAACAGAAGAAGCTTTTTCAAAAACGTTGTACAGATCGGTTGTCGTGATGATAAAGAACTTCGCATTTCGAAAACTTTTCATTTTGTTAAGAAATAACGGAGTTATATGAACTTTAAACCGCTTGAAAATTTTCCCGTTCGCATTAGGGACTCTTGCTGTATTGCACATGATAACATTTATAAAATATAAATTCTTAGGAGAAGAATAGAAAAGGGTATCGATATACCTTCTCTGATTTAACGTTAGAAAAATTCATCGATGACTAGAACTGACTTGATTGAAGCGCATGCTATGCAAGCAATAGGAACGAGCTAAATCAACTAAACCTTCATTAAATAAACGCTAACATGATAATTTTCACCACATCGGCACAATGAAAATAGGTAGGTACCTTGTCGTTCTGGTTGCGTTGACAAGAGGACGGGTAAAATGCGAAAGAAAGAATAAAAGATAACGAAAGAGAAGAATAAAACACATAGATCTAATAGAAACGAATAACGTTAAGTTAATAACCAAGGTGGCCTGAATGTTTATGTACATTCATAATGTTCATAATATATGTCGGGTTCAGCATATTGTTATTTTTTGCTGCCAGCGTCCAGATTAATGTTTTTTATGAACGCAAGACTAACCTGTGGTGCAAAAGTAATTGCCGAAATCTTCAGCCATGGTTCTCCGGTCAGAAACATCGCAGAAGGTTCATTCGTTTTCTAGTTGGAAGCGTAAAGCCTGAACTTCAAAAAACATAGGAAACAAAACTTTTGGGATTGATTTTGCGGAAGGAAAAAGTGCGATACCAAATATCGCTAAAAAACCTGTTGCAACGTACTTGTTTTCTTTATTTTTTTACTACAGTGTGAAGACAAATGTTTTCTTGAAATCAGACAGATGAAAAGTGGCCCGTGCAAACTCTATCGACTTCCCTACTTTAAGAAATTTCTCAGTAATTCTTTAAATGTAAATAAAGCGCATTATAAGTATTCAGAGGGAGCCGATTTAACTGTCAAATGTTTTTTTCAATGAGACCTAGTAGATTATAGGTTATCGACTATGCTCATTTCGAGTATGTCCATGGCAGCTGTCTATGGGTGTCGGGAGATCCGGCTTTTGGAAAACCAGTTTTTCAGAAACTCTAAAAGATAACCAAAACTTTTCCTAATGAGATATAATTGGAGCCCGCACATTTCTAATTAAAATAAGACATCTTCCAGCGCTACGCAACATTTCTTTGCAAAGTTATAGAATTTACACGAAAAGCCCTGAATGTTCATTGTGAGCTCAAAGCTACAGAAATAAAAAGAAATCAATTTAGGCTTTTCTTGTAAATTAGATAACTTTGTAAAGAGAGGTCTTATAGAACTGGGAGATGTTTTATTTTAATTAGAAATGCGCGGACGCCAATTATATCTCATTAGGAAAGGTCTTCGTTATTTTTTAGAGTTTCTGAAAAACTGGTTTTCCAAAAGCCGGATCTGCGGAGACCTATAAACAGCTGCCATGGTCATATTCGGGATCAGCATAGTCGATAACCTATAATTCAATAGGTCTCATTTTAAAGACGATTTGACAGTTAAATCGGTTCCCTCGTTAGTTTGACAGAAAGCACTACTTTGCAGGGGAAAGATGGGACATGGAGAATAATTCGTTATTCGGGACTCTAAACATGTTAGTAAAGGTTAAAACTAATGTGAATTTGTAGAGGATTGCATACTGTCCGAGAAAATGTGTTTTAGAAAAGAAGCAAAATTCGTCCAGTATCTGAAAATTATTAATTAAGCCTAATTACCGGTTTTTTGAAACTAATGAAAAACTTGCAAAGTTCCGATCGAAAAGTGAATCAAAGCATAATTTACCGTACCCCATTTAAAAGAGTGGTTAAAACACTTCTAGTTTCCAGAATCATATAATTTGAAACGTATTCTGTTATAGATTTGATGAGAAAGATACGTTTGAAGACGACAAAAGTTGCAAAAGCTTTTTTAGAGACATTTGGTATCGTACTTTTTTCTTTTCTTTTTTTTTAAACTTTAACTTTCATCTTTCCAGTCCAATGGCACTTAAATCGGGTTATCCCATTGCATCTGTGTTCAAAGGTACCAAGACGATAAGCATTAGATAGCTTGTCCAAGACTATCGCGCGACCGCCGTTGCCGGGAATATGTATTTATACCTGCTGATGTTTTCGATGTATGACGCACATTTTCCCAGTCGGTGGTTTAATTACAAAAAGATCCATTATGAATATTAGTTAAGCTGAATGAAACTCAAATTGTTCTCTTCAATAATACATGCTAAGACCGATGCGCCGGAGAGAAGATCACCAGAAATGTTTATGTAATTCCTATGCATTATTGTTGTTGGTATTTTGGACAGCTGTTCTCATTGAGGTTAAAGCATAAACTCTACTTCAATGAAAGCATAAAGTTAAGGAAATGGGCTAAAACGTGATGCGAGAGAAATGAAACACTCATGTCAATGTTTCGACTACTGCCTTTTTCACCGTCATAAAGGAGTAGGGCGGTTAAGACCCTATCCTGGCCCATAACATTTTCGGGTGTCTTGCATTGGAATCGTGTCAGGGCATGCCACCTAGTAATATGTAATCTACCTCGCTGATCACGAATACTGGCATTAGAAGTGTCAAAAAAGTTTTGGTGCGGAGTAATCTTCGCTTTAGGCCAATTTTCGTGTTTTTCGCAAAAAACAGACTTTAGATGCCTCCTGGCCGAGAAAGCACAGAAAAACTAAATCGGTAGTGATTCGGATGTAGAATTTTACTCCAAATATGAAATTAGTAAAATTACAAAAGCTAAAATGTTTTTGAAAATCAACAAAAACTGGTGAAAACCGTGTTGTTTGAGGGTTTTCGCCTTAGATAACATAGTCAGGAGCCTTGGTGCAAGGCCAACATTTTATACTAATATGTAACCTTTCACACTCTATCCGCTAGTGGTGAAAAAGAAGCGAAAAACGTTGTTGAACCGATTTCCGTGAAAGTCTCCAGAAAATCTTCCCAAGATCTTTTAACGTTTCAATCAATTAATAGCGCCGTCGTGTTCAGAATGGTCAAAAATCTACTGCATGTGTCTTACATCACTCTCACTATCAACGCCTGGTCAGGAAAGAGAATTCAAGTTTGCGCGGGAAAACACGAGGCTGCTTCGCATATAAAGTTTTATGTTTATAAATTTAATTTTTCTAGACAGACGTTGACAGTAAGAGTGATGCAAGACACATGCAAATAGGTTTTCGACCGAGTTGAACATGACGAACCTTTTCAGACACTTCTAATGCCGATATTTGTAATCAGCGGGGTCGATTACATACTACTAAATGCGTTTGAAAAAATTAAAACTGAAAAGCTTTTCAAAAGCTCTGTAGGTGATCTCATGCATTGGAAAACCGACTTTAAGATTTCTCGGAACTACGTATGTGAAAATGTTCTTGGGTGTCCCCTGACTTGATTCTAATGCATTTTGGGAGGTAAGGGTCGTATCCGTCCTATTCCTTTACACGATAACATTTTAGCATGATTATGATGAATATTAAATTCCGATTCTATGGTAAAAAGAACGATCCTTAGTTCCTCAAACTCATCTGTCTGCATATACTGCTTTACTATCTATACTATGTAGTGACGCGCAAAGAGTCCATCAGAAATTGTTCTATTGAAAAATCAATAATGCTCAAACGGGATACGAAGCCTGTCTTCACGTTTCTACGTAATGGAATGTGGTCTGTCGCAGTTTCTTACTCAGAATTTATGTTGAAAAGTCTGTGAATATCCAAAACATCACCGTGCTGTATTTTCCAGCCGAATAGGTTTTAGGCAAATATCGAGAACGCTTAAAAATGCAGGATTCTTTACATAGTTTCAAATTGTCATATCTCTTGAACTGTCCGTCGTACAAGCTTCAGAAAAGCCTCAGTTTGAAAAGAACTCCTTTCTTTACCTGATGATAGATGTCACAATATGCTTCGAGATGTGTCAATACCATCGAAATTATCTTGAATTATCATTATTAGTTCAAAATTATTTTGTATATCGAAGTTATCTTATGAGATTATGGAGAAATTAGGTTTTATTTTATGTGCTACACAAAATTTTCCATCTTTTTCCGAACGACATTTACTTTTTAAAATATTGACTTCTGGACGGAGTGTTTCGAAATGTGACTGGTGCATCCTCTTTTTTTTAAGATATACCAACAACGAAAGAAAAGCTCTACTTGTAATGGAAGAAAGGAAATTAGTCGCAAAAGATATAATGGACAATAAAAAAATTATATCAAGAAGGTATTGTATAGTGCGTAAATAGCATGAGTCCAACAAAAAGACAATAAATACGCAGTTTAGTCCAATTAAGAAGAATCTTTTAAATATATTCTCTTAAGTCAAACAAGATATCATCGCTGTGTTATGTTCGCGCAACACCTATTTGGTCATGAAGATCGACCCTTCCAGTCTTTATCTCTGTTCGTAACTGTTTCTGTTGATATGCTTTATAGGCACAGCCACCGATGCAGTTGATAAAGAATAGAATGTAAGCAATAATAATGGACCAATAGGCCACTTGATAAAGAGTTGGGTGACACCATGTTGACGTGTCATGTTTACTATACTGAACCGTATGCCTAACGCTGAATATCCAAAAGTTTCCTGCAAGAAACCATCCAAATAGAAACGGAGTACTCAGTACAATTAGCGGTACCATAAGCACTAACAAACAGATACCACATGGACTACAAATAACAGTGACCAATAATAAAAGAGCAACAAAGATGAGGATACCACTGCAAGCCACAACGAGACCAACAGCTCCGTTGACAATCATCCATGTGGCAATTTTTGGTTGAATTGGACATTGACCTTGGTATTTGATACCGATGTAGAGTTGTAAAATAGGAATAATCAAGTGTAGTAAAAACGAGATTAAACTATAATTTGAGCCAAATGTTGAACGAAGATTAGCCGGAATCTTTACACTTTGTCTGCGACCAGCTGTTGGTCCAGTTACATCTAACGGATGAGTTTCCTCTTTTATATCCAATAATGTGTCATTTGTTGGCGCAAGAACGACTTCTGATTGAATGTTGTGATATACTGGGCTAGTCATCTTGTGTATTTAGCAAAAGAAAAAATATTTCGCTACCTCAATCTATTCTATATTACTTTTCATAATTATGTGAAAACAAATATTCAAAACAAGCATATGACTAATTTGGTTGTGCATGATTAGACATCGAAGAGATAGAAAACGAATTTGCTTTTTTGTACTTTCTGGTTACCTTGATTACTTCTTTATTCACTAAAAGTGATGTACAGCAATTTGGCTTGTTATTTATGTTCCACTTTAACTCTAGGAAAAGTCATTTCGAAGAAATGGACAAACAATGGTTCCGAATCTACAAGTAGTAATAAAATGAGTTTATTTGGACTTGAAGATAATACTGATTTTGACAGGATAATACTGATCGTGATGGAATTTGAAAAGTGGAAATATTTTTTGAGCTACCCATGATACTCCCGCGTGGTTGGGTATGGTATTTTTCACGAGTGATTTTCAGAACACAAGTTGCCCATAAAGGCTTCCGATCTATCTCGAATGAATTTTCTACCCAGTGAAAAAAAATGAGCGTGATTCCGCCAGTTCCATATTTTTTCGTCGGGAGTTTCAATTTTTCCGCAGGAAATTTTCAGTTTTCGGCGGGGAAACGCTGATTCACGACGAAATGTTTTTTCTGAACGTATGCAGACTTATTTTTCTGTAGAAAAATTTGT